ACTAATAGACTCATCAAAATATCTGATTATTTATCAACTTATAACTTAAGTTTCAACATTTGGATATAATTTTAAAAACCGTCTAGTTTTCTGTTATCAGTAATAAATTACAGGTTAAATATTTAATAGAATTTCTAAGACACAATTTGACTATTTTTTACAGAACTGAAGAATACTATTACCTAGTTTTAACAAATTCATTAACAAAAACATAAAACTGAAAAATATTTTTAATTATCTGTATTAATTTGTTAAANTCGTAACTATAGGGACCATAATTATAGGGGGGTCGACTGTATATTGTAGATGAGAAGATGATGGTATGGAACCCCAATTACATTTTAGTGAATTATAAACAAGATATCATAACTACACCCACATTTTTTGTGCAAAAAGCAGGGCTGTGAAGTCGGAGTCGTCAAAAAATCCGCCAACTCCGACTCCTTTTTACTTCCCAACTTCTTATGTATATAAAACAGAAAAGTATTGGAGTCGTGTCAAATTTGACCCTCCAGGTTTTTTCGCAAATCTACATGTTTGGAGACCTCTCGAACCCCTCAAAAAGTCAATAAAAATTCAGAAAAAAAATTCGCGTGCATGTATGTGTTGACGTCTAATTTGTTTAACTTTTTTATTTTCTGTTCTGAGATATTAAACAATATCTCAGAATGGATAAAGTTTAAGAAACGAAATGTGGCACTGTTGCTTGCGTATAAAGGGGCATTAATACTAATATTTTTGAACAAGTGGCAGTAATTTATTTCAATTCACAACAAAAATTATTTATCGTATTCATACAGACACTTGGAAAATCACAGAATTAAATTTTATTCAGTTGATACATGTTTTTTTTTTTCTTACACGTTTGGGCATTAATACTATTAAATTTTGATTCTTAAAGTTAAAGGTTGAAAGAGTGAAGACATAAAAGTGGTCATGTGTCATATCCCTTAATGAATATTTTACTCCTTATTAGCGTACAAAATTCTAAAAAAACTAAAATTTGTCTATAGCCTCAAAGTAAAATTTTTTGTCATTTTATAATAGTACAATAAAACCCGTTGAGATGTTCTCGCCTAAGACGTTAAAACGTATATGGGGAAACGATTTAGTTCAACCACTTTGACGCTTAATAATTAATTCCTGTGTTAAACCATATGACTCCGTACACACACACAAATTATTAGGCTTCAAGCAGAGTGAACAAAATCATGCTCCACACACACAGTCTAACATTCACACATATAGAAAAAAACCTTGAATCTTTTGCATATCTCGAAATTTCAAGTTGTCCTGAGTCCAAAATATAAAAATTTGGGAAGGATCATTTTTTGACCGATCGCTACACCTTCCCTCTGTTATATATAAAAGCCGGAAAAGTAAAGTTATCGAATACATTATATATATAATCAAGACGAGTTGATAATAATAATAACTCTCCTGTGGTCACCACCTGGTTGTGGTGGGAGAGCCCAGTAATTTTACTGATCCATAGGACAATGCAGGCTGGAGCACAAGCTCCTGGTAGGGACACCCATGCCAGTAAGGTCTATCGGGAGAAATGAAGCTAAGAGTGACCACTCTCACATTCTGTGGAGATATTTATCATGGTAGTAACCAGATCTAAGTATGATACCAGCTCGGACATCGCCTGGGTTAACAAGGCCCGCATTTGTGGGTTAGGCAGAGGCTCATGTTCAAAAAATAGGCCAATGTCTCCCTTGGTTACCGGTGGCAAAAGCAGCACCAGCNAATTTGTTATTGCATATTGGTTCGATTATAGAACGATTGTAAACGCTCCAGAAAATTGATCAAATTGAAAATAGTTCGTTTGATGCTCGGCAATTCTCTTCTGCGGTAGGTGTTATATAGACCTAACAATTACTATGGTTATTGAAATATTGAATGTAAATGGAGTTTGCTTGCAAAACCTCCGCGGACGAAGTCGCGGGTAACAGCTAGTTTCATATATTTAGATGATTAATAATATAGAAGTTATTGGGTTGCAATTTGAAAAAAATTGTAGACCTATAAGCTCCTGCTGTCATCCGTCTGTTTGTCTTTCTTCAATATCGAGAATGGAGTTAGATAGACGAATGCCGAGACAGATATGAAAAGATTAGGGGCGGGAGGCCCCGGTTAACTATATTCGAGCATCCGATGTAAACCGAAATTCACCTGACGTCAATTCAAAAATTTTCCCCTGAAAGGAGTTGGTTAGATAACTGGGACGATTTTATTGCCAACAGGAAAAGTATGATATACAGGGGCTTGCTAACAGGGAAAATATTTATTACGTACTGTACAGTACAGGGGCAAGTCACTACCAGAGTCAACGGATTAAATCATCATTGATTGCGAGTGGAAAATTAGTGGGAACGACTGCATTGGCTGCTACGGGCGCTTCTAACGTTTGAGAACTGCTACAAAGTGAAAATAGTAGAAGGCGTTTTGTTTTTTAGTCATTTAATCATTAGCATTTATTAATTAATGCATTTAGTTATAAGTATTTAATCGTTAAAGCATTTACTTATTTAGTCATTTAGAGTTTACTCATTTAGTCGTTAGCAAACATGCCAACGTTCTTTGTTCCCGGGTGCAATTCCGGATACCCTAGTGAAAAATACAATAAAAGGCACTTTTTAAGGGTGCCAGAAAATCATTTGAAACTATGGAGAAGATTTATTCCACGTGAAGATAAGAAATTAACCACAAAGGCTAGTATGTGTGACAAGCATTATGAGCATCAATTCTTAATAAAATCATTCAGCCACACAATCGATGGCCAATTAGTGCAGCTTACAAGTGATAGATGAACACTGACTCCGGATGCTTTTTTATTTAAATTTTCCAATTGTCCTTCTTATCTAAGCATTAAAGTGCCCCGAAAGTGACGATGTTCATCAGAGAGAAAAACTGCAGTTTTCTCCAAGAAGAAGCAAACTGATCTCTCAGATAAGGAGTAGAACACGTGTTTACAGTAATGAATGCACATGCTATGTTGTTTACATTTGAATTTTAAATTTTAATGTAAACAACATAACATGTACTGTACATTCATTCATTTTTAAGGTATCAGGTCCACTTTTCCTAAATATGTTGAAAGCAATGATTAACTGCCCAGTACTTGTAATGACAGTGATAGAAGTACAACAACGTGTACAAACTCACATTAACGTATTCATTTTTTACACGTGAAATTAATAAATAATTTATTAGTAAAATAAAATTAAATGATTATAAAAAAACTCTCAACTTTCGTATAGGTGTAGCAAGAAAAAGTCATGACTTTGATCATTTCTGTCAATTTTAATGAATTTTTGTCTATTTTTTTTTTTTTACTTTTTATTAGTTGTTTAAAATGTCAAAAAATATTAAAAACAGAATTTTTAATATTTTATGTTTTACAAAGGTATCTGTGAAATCAAAAGATTATATTACAAAAATGTATATAATAATTTTAAAGATGTTAATCCTAATACTGATTGTATTAAAACTTTTATTATAATGTTTATGCAAAACACATATAAACCATATAAAATCTAAAATTGTTTTAATGCAATTTTTCACTTCGCTGTGAAAATGTTTATCAAATCAAAGATTAAAAATGATCTAATCTACCATCATCACATCTGATTTGTTTGATGCATCCAAAATGTTCAATCTTACCATAAACAGAATATATTTTTTAAATAATTATTAATTTATATCTAATGAATTGTTATGTATACATAACGAGCAATTATTTACTGTGACATCGTCACAACGCTGGGCTGCAATTTTTAATTTATTTAATTTAAAATATATGCTCTCCATACTTAAATTAGTAGTGTATTGCCCCTGTACATCATACTTTATCGTTTGCAATGGAATCGTGCCGGTTATCTATCTGACTACTTTCAGGAAAAAATTTTGAATTAAAATAACGTGACTTCCTATTTAAATCGGAAGTTTACATATAGTTAATCGGGGCCTCCTACCCCAAGGTTTCCATATCTATCTCGAATTTCATCTAGCTCCGTTTTAGAGATTAGGGGACGGACGGACGGATGACAATGGGAATTTATAGGTCTACAATTTATTCAAATTACAGCCCAAGGATGTTTAAAATATTTCAAAATTTTTATAGATGGTAATAATTTACTGTACAATAATAAACTTTATATAGCTTGAGTGTAATTTGTAACAACTAACTGATTCATAAATGATGATAAAATTTTAAATTTTAAACTCTGAATTTTTTATTTAATAAATTACTTGAAATCAATATGAACTTAATCATTTAAAAACTATAAAAGTAATTTAAATAACTAGGCCTATATATTTTTAATGCAAATATTGTTTACTTGATTATCTATATACACCAGTCGACCCCCCTATAACACTGTTGATAATTCTGTTTTATATGAATTCCATGTTGCACCAGTCACTTAGATTTTACAAATACGTGTGCCGGGCTGTGAACGGCTCACGTATTTGTAAAATCTAAGTGATTCGTACAACATGGAATTCATATAAAACGGAATTATCAACAGTGTTATAGGGGTCGACTGTATATAAAATTGCTTGTCCTGACTGACTGAATGACTCACTGATTCATCATCGCCCAGAGCAAACCGCTGAACCTAAAGAGATGAAATTTGGTACACAGTTAGGGTACGTCATGAAAACGCACACTAAGAAGGGATTTTACGAAATTCCCCCGCGGGGGGAGAGAGAGAGAGCATTAAGGCTTAACCGGAAAAACGGCTTCTACTGTACTATTTTAGATGTGATTTTTTGTTTTCAACAATGTTTAGACTTCATTGAGTACTTAGGTGTACTAAATTGATAACATTTCAGACATTGTTATAAATATTTTTATATAATTCGATTATTTAACCGAATGTTCGAACCTTTTTAAATTCAAATTTGTTATTGCATATTGGTTCGATTATAGAACGATTGTAAACGTTCCAGAAAATTGATCAAATTGAAAATAGTTTGTTTGATTNCTAATAATTTAACAAATAAATAAAATTTAAATTTTGAGTTTTAAAACTAAAATAAATTCTATATCCAAACATTAATTTTGAGAATCAAGCTGCAATGAAATAAGTTCCTTTAACTGAGAGAAAATATTAAAGAACAAATAAAATGTATCATTTCCAGTGGTGTATTAAGTTTGATCTCTAGGTCAATCAATTTCTTGTGTTCAATGTATGTGAAATTTATCAGTATCAAAAACTTGCCAATTCAAGGTCAGATTTGATTGAAAGTTATCATAACCCAAATTCAAACAAAAAATAATTGTTTTGTATTTATGCTATAATTATTTTTATATAGCAAACAAAACAAGATTTACTAAATCAACTTTAATATACTTTCAAAATTTTTGTCTTTAAATTTTGAATTATTGGTTTCTACTTTCCTGGGTAAACTTCTGATAAATGTTTAACAAAAGTTAGAAAAAGATCATCACTATTACTATATTTCACCCTATACATATATTCTAAAAAATATGTATTTGGGAATTCCTTTCTCGAATCTGGTACATCTCGTTGTTTCCATCGATTATTCATTGACTGACCATGAGTACTAGTGAAAGGATCTATAAAATTGATTTTATATTTTACAATAAACCGCTTTAATCTTTCATCACTTTGAAGAGTGTATGATTTTGCACATTCTGCAATAATTGTTGTTCCTGGGTAAATCCATTCTTTAAGAATTGAAAGAAAAGTATTAATATTTCGCTCTTTTACAGATGCAACGAACATCCTTCGAGAATCACGTTCAATTCCTCCCAAAATCCATTGGCCTTCTAATAACCTTCCCTTATTAAATTTTTTCTTTCCTACTTTTGTTTCTCCTAACTCTACAATTTTTCCCCTACCTCCCAATTTTTCAGAATTCTTTTGTAAAACTACAGCACAAACTTCTCTACAATACATATACCAATCACCAGTTGTGTGGTGGCTGCTAGTGGATAATTCATGTTGAACATATGTCTGAGGTAATTTGTATATCCACATGTAAGTTAATTCAATAATCTGTGCAATTGATAAATGACTACTTTCAAACCAAGTACCCTTTAAAACAGAAGTTCTAATTTTGCAATGAGGGCATTTACGTATTAATCCAAGTGGTTTATCTTTTGCAATTTGTATCTCTTTCATTGAACCACATTCACAATTTACCTGTACAGGTATAAGCCCTACTTTATTACACCAAGTTAAAATACTATTTTCATCTTTTGTGATATGTGTTATTATGTACCTATAATTCACAGGTGATGGTATATCTTTCTCTGTGGAATCATTATTTGAAACAATTTCCGTACTACTTGAATAACCGTGCGGGCTTTTCTCTCTTGGAACTTTTAGATTTTTCATCTGACCGTTTACAGTTTCACTAGTGTAACTCTGACAATTTATTTTGTTTCTTACATGAGATCTTGCATATCGAGACTTTTTGGATAAAGACTTTAATACATTCATTTTCTGTTGCATATTTGGTCCATTCCGATTACAGAGTCTCTTTGTTTCTCTCTTACATTTCATTAGCAAATTATTAGAGATATGTTTCTTAATGGATTTATTTAATTTGTTGTTAGCCATTTCAACTCTCTTGACAGGCAATTCCTGATAATTTTGATAATCTATATGTTTTTCTTGAAAGTTAACATGGTCCAAAAATAAATTTCCTATACATTTTTTTTTAACAAACTCATCTTCATTACTTTTTCTGTTCAATTCGGATTTACTTTCCATATTCCAATCGGTGCAATCAATAACCAGATCACGATTAGACGTTTCACTCTCAGCTATAGATATTTCACTAGTATGAATTATATTTTCATTTCTATTTTCAGGACTATGAATAGTCACAATTTCCCATGGTTGAGGGTTAACAATTACATTACCTGTATTTTCTAGAACTAACAAATCAGAGTTCAACTCTTTGACACTGGCTGCATTTCCATTTTCTTCGTCAGGATCAGATACACTTTCTATCTCGGTCTGAGAATCTGTATTGGACCGAATACCTGAACAAGGCGTTTTGTCAGAGTTTCCGTCACTAGTATTTTGTGAAGCCATCCCCTCTTCTTTATCGGAATCTGCAATATCTACAGTTTGACACTCGATAACGAAATCACTCGGATGAGATACGAAAGCCCCTTCGGGCGAAACATTAATTACTTCTATGACCATATGGTCCAGGGGAGATTCATCTTCCTGATCACTCATCACTAATTCCTCTTTTTACCATTAACCATTTAGCTACCATTATAAATTAAGCTTACAAAATCTCTAATAACAACTAATACAATGAAAAAATTTATTAACTGAACTGAGATTCTATTCAGATTCAAATCATTACCAATTATTACACGACATATCGTACTCGACACCAAAAGAAATCCTCAAACAATATTTAAAGGAAGGAAGAAACAATTTGTCATACACTAAGCCTAACTATTACGGTCTAATAGGAACTAAATAGTGTATCTAGTAATTATAGCTTATTTTTATATGGTTAAAAAAAACATAACATACAATTGAAACGTGAAAAGTGCTGAATAAGGAAGGTCAAACGTACGTAATTATTTAAAAATAAATCCTTCACACAACCCAAATCGGGGAATATGGACGAACTCTTGCTTTAAACTAGTCTCGCACTTAACAACAATAATAAATATATAAAAAAGTAAATGTATATTTTAACCAATCACTTTTACTTAATAAAATTTTTTATGTTTTTTCGTCGTCATTATTACGTTTCAAATTTAATTGTTTTCATTTTAAAAATCGGTGACGTCACACTTGATTTAGTAACTTTTTTATTTGTATCGGTTCATATAATGCAATACTACGGGATACAGTATACAGTATATTCTTAAATAAATAAATAATTTCATTTCATTATCGATAATTATTTAAGTTATATTAATGTATTACATAAATTTATATGAATTATTTTTTAAATTATATCTTCATTTATATTAAAACTTCGAAATGGTATTGTGAAAATGGATACGGTTTTTTCTAATTGTGTGATATGAGTTCAAGTATCTATCGTGTTTTGAAAAAAGAATGTTTTTCTCTAAAATAAACAAACGTAACTTTAAAAAAATAACTATATATTTCATCGTTCAATTCGTTTAATGCCTTAATTTTTTAAATTAAACATACACGGAATATATAGATTGTAAGTCAGAAAAAAATTTATATAACAGATAAATTTTTGCCAATTTTAAATAAACAACAGATATTTTATATATATTTAGCCCATTTATAAGTTAAATTGAATTATTTTATACACATACACAGTGCCCGGATTTGACAAGCTAAACAAGCTGCAGTTTAGGTCCTTTTAAATGTATCATTGCATATAAAAGGATCTAAACTTTTACATGTATGATTATTTGATGGAGAAGAAAGGCCTGTTGTGTGTTATAACTTAGGCCCACAACAAGTCCGGTGCTGCATACATAACTGCGTCATTGAAAGAATGAATCTCATATTTTAAACTTTCTAAAATAAAGAAATTATAACTATATAATTCGTATTGATTTTTAGTTTATTTTATTGTTATTAAAATTCCGTTTCTTCAAAATGGTTTGAATGAAGAACAGATCCTATGAGTTGCACATTTTACTTGCATTTATATCATCTATAAAATAAATTATTCATGATAAGTAACTACAAATATATATATATAAATAAGTTAAAAGTTATTATAAATGTTTATTTTTTAAAACTGTTATGAAATGTTTAAATATGAAGATATTGTACAATAATAGTCTTTTCTTTTAAATAAAGTATATTAAAAGATTATAAAAATATACTAACTTATTAAACCATTATCGTATTCTAAGTTCACGAACGCCGTGTAATAATTTATATTGTAAAACTTAATTCTTTGTATAAGAATTCTTAAATTATATACTTTACTTACATTAATATGTCAGAAATGTTCAAGACTCTTAAAATGCTGTTATGAAGTAGAAAAAAGTCGAACTAACTTACACCGTAACTTCAGTCACAACTCATAACACATATTGCTTTGAAAAAACAAATTATAATTTAAAAGGATTTTCTTTTCTGCTAAATTTGAAAAATGACTTTTAATTCATACTTAACTTTTAAAGATAAATAAATAAATGATGACATACAAACAGTATCAGAATGTTTTATTACATAAATTTTTCTCTATCGGTAAAAAGGATCATTAACTTTATAAATATTTTCACTATTGCGCGTGATATAATAATAAAAATTAACTTTCGTCAAAATTAAATAAAATTATAAAAATATTTATTTCTTCAAATTTTTAGGAATATATTAATATTTACAGATAAATAATTTTTTCTGTTTATTCTATAGTTCAATGTGCAAGTATTCGTTTTAATATCGATTTCAATCTTATGATAAGTCCGATTTTAAGTCTTCGACCTCATCTTGAAGCTCTTCAATTTTCTTATGTAAATACCGAGTTTATTGGAAAAACTTGAAAAAACGAAGAACTTTGGAAAAATAATCGACTAGACTGATCGTAGTCATTATCATTCTGGAAAACCGGAGAAGAATGAACGTTGATTTTGTTTGGCCATCGTTTCCCGAACTGGGGTCAAAAACCAGTTCCAAAAGATTCACGAAATTTTCGGGAAAAAATCTACCATTATGCGTTTATTTTCCTAAACAGTTGAGTGCCATCATTGGAAGCGATGGAAGCGCCGCTTCTCTTGTATTTTCTAAAAAACAAATACATATTGCGCGATTATTTTCATATTTTAACGTATTTTGGATTAATTAAAATTAACATTTTATTACACATTTCTATACTACACGTGAAAAAAACGATAAGATTGCTATTGTATATTCGAATATCAGTGGCGGAATGGAAGCGCTGTATTGTGGAAACCGGATCAGCTTCCAAACAGCCAGATTATACGCATTCGCGCATGCGCTTTACAGAGCACCAACCTCACGCGGTTTAGCTGGTGGAAGCTACACACATATGAGGTCTGTTCAGAAAATACGCGAACTGTTTGAATTGCGCGGCTCCAGTTAGTTCCAGGGGAATCCGCTTGGTGTCGCTAGGTTTGTATAGATCGTCTGGTGATAAAGCCGTTTCCCGATCACAGATATCTTTATTTGTTGATTAGCTACGCGGTTTTTAGTGAAGTGCGATTTTTTTCGTTTGTCAGATTTCGGAATGAATGACCTGATGGAGCAACGACTTGCTGTGAAATTTTGTGTTAAACTTGGTAAATCTGCGACTGAAACATTTGCTATGCTCAACACGGCTTACGGTGATGTTGCTACGAAGCGTACAATACGGCACGTTTCAATGGTATGAACGTTTTAAGGGTGGTTGACAATCGATTGAAGACGATGAGCGTCCTGGACGTCCTTCCACGTCACCTGACGACCCACACGTCGACAAAATCCACAAACACCCTGGTGCGGGCAAATCGACGTCTGACCATCAGGGAGCTTACTGAAGAGTGTGGGATATCAGTTGGATCTTGTTACGAAATTTTGACGGAAAAATTGAAGATGCACCGCGTTGCTGCGGAATTTGTCCCACGCTAGATAACGGACGACCAAAAAGCCAATCGCGTCCAGATTTGTCAGGAACTGCTTGATGGTTCAGAAAAAGATGAAAACTTCTTCTCAGTGATCATGGCGATGACTCATGGGTTTACGGTTATGACATTGAAACGAAGGTCCAATCGTTCCAAGTTGGTGGGTGAAACGTCCCCCAGACCCAAAAAAAAAGCTCGCCAAGTTCGATCCAATGTCAAGGTGATGCTGACAGTTTTCTTTGATGCTAAGGGTGTTGTTCACCACGAGTACCTCCCCAAGGCTCCACAGTGAACCAGACTTACTACATTGAAGTTCTGAAACGTCTGAGAGACGCCATCCGTCGCAAAAGGCCAGAAATGTGAAGGAGTGGCGACTGGTTTCTCCATGGGTAGAGTCATGAGCGCCCTGCATCGCATTTATTAAAACAAGAACAGATTACATACAAGTAAAACAGATATAAACATATAACGACAGAAATACAAATACAATGGCGCAGCTTTTAGACAAACAGTTGGCATTGAGATAACATTAGACATCACGACAATGCTCCAGCCCATTCAGCCCTCAGAACTCGTAAGTTTTTGGCAAAACACTCGATCACTGTTCTTCCCCACCTCCTACTCACTTGACCTTGCTCCTTGTGTCTTTTTCTTGTTCCCCAAACTCAAAAGACCCTTGAAAGGAAAAAGATTTGAGACGATTCCCGAGATTAAGGCAAATGTGACAAAGGCGCTAAAAGACATTACAAAAGAAGCGTACCAGGACTGTTTCAACAAGTGGAAACACCGTTGGGATAAATGTGTGTGTTGAGAAGGAGAATACTTTGAAGGGGACCCAGACATGCAACTTCTACATAAAGTAGATTTTGTTTTATGACGTCAGTCGGCGTATTTTTTGAACAGCCCTTGTATAACGCTTCCAATGATTCTTTCCAGACCGGTTGTATACTATATACAGGCTTAACTATAAATTTTGACTACCTTTTCTTGTCCTTAACGAAAACTCCCAAAAATATTTAAAAATGAGCACAAACTGTAAGCAAAAAACAAACAGTCTAATCAATTTAAAGTATAAAATCGTGAAAGTGACAGTTAATAGAAATATAAATATTAACGACCTTTACAATAAATAATGTTTAAAACAGGATTAAAATAGTATTTATAAGCAGGCCTTAAAAAAACACAATATCTGAGTTAAAAACGAGAAAATTTCATATATTAAAAGAATTTCGAATGTTTAAAGCTGACTTGCCCTATGCTTCCAGCCAAACTTAAAACTATACGCGATCGAAGTGCTCGAAGTGGCAGAAATATTTATTAAACCAATACAGTAGCATTAAAGCAAGGACCAGTATATTTAGCGGCTCTGGTAATGAATAGTATGTAGCGCCATCTGTTATTAGATTTCATCATAAAATATTTTATATTATTAATTATTATAAAATGGCAAACCAAATGCTTAATTTTGAGGGTAGACATGAGTTTCATTTTTTTTTAAAATTGTAAATGTTAACAGCGAGTAAAATCTGACATGACACATGACTATCCTTTCTCCCCACCCCTTGATCTTTCAGAACAAAAATTTAATGACATCAATATCCCTTAACGTGTATGGGACCCTTTATACACAAGCAACCGTGCCAAATTTCGTTTTTTAATCTTTATCTAATCTTGAGATATTAAACGAAATAGACACCAACACACATCCACAGAATTTTTTGCCTTTTTCTTTTTTTTTTATTTTAACCTTTTTCTTGGGGTTCAGGAGGCCTCAAAACGTGGAAATTTGCAAAAAGCTCGGAGGGTCAAATCTGACATTACATTACATTAAATTGAAAAGGGGGAAATCCTCCAGGCAACACTCAGAGGTACAACCTGGAAGTGGTAAAGAACGGAAGGAAGGAAGAGACATGAGAAGGGTAGGGGATGAGCGTGGGGCAGGGTAAAGTTGAGATCTCCAGGCGCCTGCATC